ATAAACCTAAATTTCTTTCATGACCCGTTTTTCCCCATGATTTCATGTCGTAAGTCAGAATTAAACAAATGCTTAGAACCAATCCTTATGTTTTTTTATCTGTAAGTAATTTTCGTTTGTACGTCCGTGTGTTACTATTTCCACAGCTGTCGCTTTGTGGTCAGATATATAATTGTCGATTTAAACATGTGCGTCTAGTTAACAAACCAAATATCCTAATCATATGCTAGATTGTCGGAACGTGACTTATATTTTAGACTACAAATGTTCAAACGGAGAAGATAGAAACATTGCTTTCAGTAAGTAAAAACATGTCACTTATTGTTGATAAAAAAAAAAAAATTAAATCTAATATTTAATTATGAGTTCACTGGTAAAAGCAATCGATATATGTCCGGTACCGAGCTAAACCTTTATTTATAAGTACATATATTTAAGAGCTGTCTTATTACACAATGCTGACATGTGTCGTTGACACGTGTTTGTATATCTATTCATCTTGTTTTATATGACAATGTGACTAGTAATTTGTGACCAATACACTTTGCTTTTTGTCCATTAATTATTTTGTAATTAGCATTAATTCAAAACACATAACATAGGACTAGGACGATAAATAAGAATTGTACATGTACGAAGGGAGACAACTCCTTGTACATGATCACGACTTACTCTCCATTCATTATTATTTTTTATTATTTTTCGCAGCATTCATGAGGTTGGAAATATTCCTTGAATCGTGTCGAATTAGCGTCAGGGACGAAATCCTGTGTTTATTCATGCAGTGCACCTCCCTATCTAGATTTTGACTTTTTTTTTTCGAGCACTTTGGATTTTTCTCCTAGGCTTCAAAAGTCCTTTGCATCGCTGACGACTCCTAGATGGATGAAACAGCTGCATGATGTAGTCTAAATCATTGTTTGACTCTAACGTATCTTATGCTATCAACTCGTGTGTTTTTTGTACATTAATAATGACCTCTGTTACACTAAGGGCCTGACCAAGGAAATCAAAATTGATCGAGAGATAAGTCAAAATCTCGATGAAGAGACAGATAACCACCATGATTCAGTATGTTTGATTATTTAAATGTCTGCTAATTATATAAGGGCTGCATGTAGACGTACATATTTTGAACCATTCTGCTATCTGAGTGAAATAAAACTTGTCATGTAGGTTACGACAAATCTCGGGGACTGAAGTCCACCAGCAGTGAATATCACCTGCATTCTCAAAGGATTGAACGCAACACAGACAAGCAGGAAATATTTAATACAAAAATACTTCATTCATAAGAATTTACAACATTTTGACAAGCTGATTAAAACTTCTCTTTCAATATCATTGGACTAGACAACATACAATAACATAAAACACGGTTTAGATCTCTTACAGTGTAGTGTAGTTCTATCAATACACTTCACTGCAAATTTTAATATCATGCATAAAAATTATCTAATTTAGCTAAAATTGTGAGCAGAATTTCTTTCAGATTTTCTGTCATTATATATGCATTTTTAAAAGTAAGATATTCGCTGTAAGAAAGATTAAAAGCTAAAGTAAAAATAGAAAACCAGGAAAGGAGTGATGATACATAAGCAAAGATGTCAACTTTTCCCTTTATTGTAGAAATTGTCACAACACTTTAGGTGGGTATGTTTCTACTATTTGTGATTTGACTTTGTTGTGACCTTGATGTATTGACAACTTTTCCCTTGCATCCAGAATACAAGGCACAATATAAATCATTTTACTGACTTATAAATCTACTGAAAATGAAATCCCTAAAGGAGTGCAGCTTAATAATCTATTCTTCATGAAGTCAGAGAGTAAACATATTATTGTCCTCATGTGTTCATAAAACAGCAAAATATCATCAAATTAACACAATTTTTCCTTTCTTTTTTAAAAATAACAACCATGCTATTAAAAGTATTTTAATGTAAAGAAATAAAGAAAATGAGATCATTTGTGAAAGTCAAACTAGCTATAAAAATATACAAGAATATCATAAAATAGTAGTGGAAATCATTGTTCCACTCGATTGATTATTAAATGCGCAACATTTGAATAGAACCTACAGTCACAATGAATAAATACTATCTAGATCATTAGATATGATCAGTCGTATGCACTAAACATCACCTAGAGTAAGTACCAGTGCATTAGGAAATCAAGGAAAGACAACTCAAGGTAGAAAACATTTGTGATATCCTGAAAATGTAAAAAGAACAAGGACAGTGTTTAACAGATTAGAACTTGTAAATAAAAACAAAAACAGAGGAGAAATACGGAGGGGAAAAATAAAATATTAACTCCTTATGGTAACTGGAAATATAATCACTAAAGAAAAGTAATAGTGATAGACCAACATATATTATGTGGAATATACATACAAGGGAAACAGTGTACTACAGAAAGGGTTAAAGGTCATGAGAGCTACAGCAAATGTAGAATATTTCATAAGGTCTACAGAATATGTAGAATATATGGAACAACATACAATGAATTGATTTAAGTTTGAATTCAACCTTTGTAGAGCTAAATACACAGATTACAGAAATAGAATTCAACCTTTCTAGAGCTAAACACACAGTTTGCAGAAATAGAATTCAACCTTCCTAGAGCTAAACACACAGTTTGCAGAAATAGAATTCAACCTTCCTAGAGCGAAATACACAGTTTACAGAAAAAGAATTCAACCTTCCAAGAGCAAAATACACAGTTTACAGAAATAGAATTCAACCTTCCTCAAACTAAATACATTTTACAAAATAAGAATTCAACCTTCCTAGAGGTAAATATACAGTTTACAGAATTAGAGTTCATCCTTCCTAGAGTTAAATACGACACATTCAGCATTGAACTCCAACCTATCAAGAGCTAAATACATAACTTACATGAGATCTACTTAATCTTCATTCTACCAATAACCTCACAGTTAAGAAATATAATCTAGACCATGTATTAACCTAAAAAGCACAAGAATAACTTCAAACATTCAAATCATATGCTAAAGACCCATAACAATCAAGAATGTCCCTACATAGAAAGAGAAATATATATATTACATCTATACACTTCTAAACAGTAAACACTCAACAGTATCAGAAATTATATTTGAAAGTAACAATGGAATGACACAAATCATAAAAATAGCTTAAAAAACAAAAGTTTGAATAAAAATGTAAAAATTGTAACTTGCACCAATTAAACCAACCCCATATATTCCCCTGTGTGATCAATCATATCATTCCTTACTTTTTTGGTAGTCGGAGGAATTTTCTTTTAGAAAGATCATTCTATAAAACAGTTATAACAAAATGTTATAGACAATGCAATCAACAGGTCCTGCTAAATACAGGTGTTACTAAAAGAATTATGATGGTATTCATTAATGTAATGAAACCAGTTAGGAATTCATTAATGTTATAGAGTCAGTATTCAGTCATTGACCAGGATCAACAGAGTACTCACTAGGATCTGTAAATATTCTAATTGGATAGATATGGTATTTTGTAATTAAATGAGGCAAGAAAATTTAATAGAATTAGTAAAGTATTCATTCATTAACCAGGATCTACAGAGTATTTAATAGCTTAATGGGATCTGTAAATATTCTAATTGGATTGGTAAGATATTCTGTAATTTAATGAGATAGCAAAATTCAACAGCATAAGTAAGGTATTCAGTGATTTAATGCAATCTGGTATCAATTAATGTTTATTTTGAAGGTATCATTAAATCAACTTGGTCAATAATATTAAAGTTTAAATGAATCACTCGGGCAATAATTTAACTGGATCAGTAAGATATTCTCTTATTTAATGAGATCAGGTAAGTATTCAATATTTCAAATTCACGAATTCAAAAACATCAGAAGTATTTTAATAATCTAATGGGATGAGGAATGTATTCATTTGTGTAATGGAATCACAAAAGTATTCACTAATTTAATAGAAACAGTAATGTATTTACGTATTTAACAAGATCAGTGGTGTTTTTAACGAATTTGAATCAGTAAGGTGATTCCGTATTCAGTCATAACGTGACGTCACAAGGGAGATAATCATGGAATGTACAGAACTTGTAATTTTGCAATCAAAATCCAAATTAATTTTACGTAGTGCTTATTTAAAAAAAAAAATGAATTCTGAAACACCAGATTTTGACAGCAATTAACACACAAACTGCACCCATGTAAATAGCCTGGCATTCAACAGTTAAATAAATAAATATACATTGCTACAAGCCCAAAATATCACAAACAGAAAATAGCTATCACTGTAAACCAAATAACGTTCAACAATCTATAAAAATACTGGTACACATATATACAGAGTTGGAATAAATATGAAATGCCCCAGTATTATACCACTGTGTCCAGATATGTAGATTTCAGGCCATTTTGTTTTATCTTGAATATAACCGCATATATAATGTTGACTCATTTCAAATTTAAAAGTATTAAAATATTTTCTTTGTAAATTAAGTCAATATCTCTTATAACAAAATTGAACACAATGTTGTTGATTGATTTGTAATATAACAAAAAACTTTGGTAAAACATACAATTATAAGTACTGAATGATAACATGTATACATTTAAATTACTTGTAAATACCATATCATTACAAGGTCTTTCTAAAGACTTTGTGATTCAACATATCAAAAAGGACAAATAATCATAATTTTTGAAAATTCTGATATGTATTCAGTAAAATCAAAGGGACAATACTCTTGTTTTTAAATATAAACATGAATAACAAAGTTTGTTACATATATATACATAGGAATTGAACAACACTTCTGTAGATCTATTCTTTATACAAATTTTTATATTTCAAGTACTATAATGTATTAGAAGTCGATTTTTTTTTTCAAAATAAAATTCATTGTGAAAAGCAAAACTGACTAAATTGAATCTGTTTTTTTTTTCCTTTTTTACATTAAATTTCTCTGATATCTAATCATTATTAACTATTTTGACAAAGCATTTTTCATTTTTTCTCCACAACTACACACCAGTTGGAGTGGTCAAACATGTTACTGACCACTCGAAGGCTTTGGACATTATCTGTTATAAGCTCAATCAATTCACCTTCCTTAAATACATGGTAGTACCGTGATAACTGTTTGGACGCACATTCATTAGACAGTTCCTGAGAATGCTTCTTGCCTGTTGATAAACATTTTGGCTGACAAGATTCTGTTGTGCCATTACTGTAACCATTTAATGTTTGTAAAGACTTGCTTTTTATCCCAGTTTTTGATACATCTGTTTTACCTGAATTCCATTTTGAGTGTTTTCCAGTTGACGTTTTCTCTCCTTGACAGAATTCTCCTATAAAATCAGGTCGACTGTTGTTTCCTGAGAGGTCGAGATCAGTTACCCTGCATAGTGATCCCAAGGCACTGTACTGGTCACATGATTTATTGTTTATAGTAAAGTCATGTGACCTTCTACTCTGATCATGTGATTTGATATGACTAATTGAACCTACATTAGAGTGTCTGTTCTTATTATGTGCACAGTTCTGAACAGAATTTTCACTCCTTGAGCTAACAAACAGCTTTTCAGATGTTTGAGTTACAGTGTTGTGGTCATCTGTTGATAAATGACCATTTACTCCATTATGAAAAACATCCCGTTTCCAATCAGACATTCCTAAGTCACCATTTACTGAATTCTGTGGTAAACCATTCCCAAGGACATCATCAGTGACTGCAATAACGCCATTGGTCTTATTTATCTGACCACTGATGTTTAATCTATCTGGATCGTCCGTAATGTCCACACTATTCCTGTTACTAGGGCAACTACTTTGTGGAAACTCTCGGACAGCAAATCCTTCAAACTCATCAAGACTGGTGCTTGTGGACAGACTTCCTAGGGTTCCATCTTCTCCAAACGAATGAAGAAGCCAGTTTTCAATGGCCATGGACTTGGAAATCACATCAGGGGATTCTAGAGGTTTTGGTGGTGGTTCTGTGTCAAAAACCTTTTTTATTTTGGCTTTTATTAAATTGAAAAATGACACTTCTTCCTTCTCTCCATCTTCTTTTTTGATATCCTTTTTTGAACTAGTAACTGAGGGTTTGCTAATACTGCGTTCTGAAATCTGTTTATTTACCCCTGAGTTCAGTCCTTTGATTTGATGTTTTAAATCCTGGACACTTTTAACTTTTACATTTTTAGCGACATGAATATGTGACTGATATGCAGGAATCGGCTCCACTACTGATTCAGATGAGAGATATGTTTCTGTTGAGGCAAGTTTGGATTTACTAACTACCTTTTTTGATTTGTGACTTTTTGAACTTTGACAATACTGTTGATGTTTTGTCTGCATTTTACCAGTGATAGATGAATTATGGGTCAAATATTTATAGGAAGTGTCATGTGATCCGTTTGGGATGCGGTTTTCATCTTCCTCAGTGATGTCACTTCCTTCAACATCTGCCTCCAGGTACTCCCCGGTGACATCAATACCCAGACCCTCCTGACCTTGCCGTGAAATGTCACTACTCCTGCCCTCCTGACTTAACCATGGGATGTTGGCACTCACACCCTGCTGACCTTGTCGTTGGAGGTCACTTTCCTCACCACCATACCAGTGATGGTTATGACTAACAGATAACGCCTTCATACTTGCCTCGAATCTTCGACATTCCTCAGCCAGGACACTCTTACTAAACACTGTCCTCCCCTTCTTCTCAGAAGGGTACATGCCTCTTTGAGTATTAATGATGTTAGGAAGTGTATTTGATCTTTGTCTTAGAACAGTGATCTTTGGAACAGTATTATCTGACAAGAACACGTTGTCCAATTCCTGGAGTGAGTCCTTGAGGGTGTCCTTGAAAGTTTCTGAAGCTGTCCTCTGGAGCGTACGACCAGGTAATGTGAAATCTGAAGTATCAGCTGACGATTCATCCTCACTTACAGAGCTCACCGAGGACAAGTCCTTGTCTGAACAGGACGGCAACAACCCTGCAATACAGACATTAGTTTGGTTGGAATTAACTAGACTGGTTGTTGACTTTCTAAAAACATTTTTATCAAGACTTTCCCATATTTAAAGTTTTATTTTTCCAAATTATTTTTTAAATATATCTTTTCAAAAGAACACACTAACTGTATAATTGAAAAAAGTATCACCATTGCATCACCATTGCAAGCAAAATTAATAATTTCCAACATCCTGATTTCATCTGTAGATATTTTTCAAATGGTCTTTCTTCACTGGGTGGTAGACATTCACATGATAATGTAGTTTTGTCTGAGGTTTTCTTAGGTTTCTAATCGCAACATTGTCGTTTTTATCTTATCTATGTTAATTTTAAGTCTACTGACACATTGACTCATCCAAAGGCAATCCAGATCAATACAAAATGTTCATACAGAATGTCAAAAAGCCATGAAAAAAGAATTGAGAGCAAGCTAAATATGACATTTGAAAAAAACCTGTACCTGTTATCAGTAATAAAAAGCCATACTAGTTACATTCAAGAAAATTTTAGAAATCTGACTAAAACTGATTTAATTAATTATAAACTAAACACAAATTAGAATCAAGATGAGTTAATGAACCTAAGTAAATGATACCTAGAATGGCTAAGTTATTGTTGAAGGATTAAAAATATCCCTGTTCTACTTTGGACAATTTTGTTGTATAAAAGATGGTAAAAAGTTCATTATGCTGAAATTTGCTGTGTTTCTGTCTTCTGAAGTAAGACATAATTCTCTAACCATGTTTATCAGCTGACTTGCTGGTTCTCTGTCCCTCATGCCATGGTATCAGTACATCTTGTCCATCAAACTGTTCCAAGACAAAAAAAAAGTGATATTTAAAGAGAAGTTTAAATGCGCAGAGAAATTTAATTGAAACCCAAATCAAATTTGTTAGAAGTACTGTTTAACTGGTGTGGTGTTATCTTAAAAACTGATAATTTTCAGTACATCACAGCATTAAATTCAACTATTGCTCTTTTATAAACATGCTTGATCTTCATCAACACAGACTCAACAGAATCTTCATCAACACAGACTCAACATACTCTTCATCAACACAAACTCAACATAATCTTCATCAGTAATATGATCAATGTTAACAACTATGATATCAAACTAATGAGTCTCAAACACTTACACCATCTTAACTTGTATTCTCTGATTTCCTATCATTGGCATATTACGTATACATATATTTCACTGATATGACAGAGCAATTTTACAATTAAAAAATGAAATTTTCTATCAATAATATCAAAATTGTTTTTCATCAATTTGTTTATGTGACTTACTGACCCCACTGTATTTCTCATCATATGCTCACACAGTTCCATATTCTGCCACACATAAGTACCCATCTATGTTTCTGTTTGTTTGCCCACAGATATTCTGACACACACATACCCACCTGTATTTCTGTTTGTTTGCCCACAGATATTCTGACACAAACCCACCAATATTTCTGTTTGTTTGCCCACAGATATTCTGACACACACATACCCACCTGTATTTCTGTTTGTTTGCCCACAGATATTCTGACACACACATACCCACCTGTATTTCTGTTTGTTTGCCCAGATATTCTGAAACAAACCCACCAATATTTATGTCTATATGCCCACAGATACTCTGATACAAACCCACCAATACTGATGTTTGTATGCCCACAGATATTCTGACACATACCCGCCTATGTTTTTGTTCATACGCCCACACATACAGCATCATTTGTCCTCCTGGTCGAACAATTCTTGCCAGTTCCCGGATAGCCTCAATTCTGCGTTCCGTAGTGGCAAAGTGATGGATGACACCAACTGATATCACAGCATCAAATAAACCTGATCTAAAGGGCAGTTTGAGGTTGTCTGCTACCAGTACTTCATGCCCCTTGGTTCTGGCTGATTCCACAAGGGGGCAGCATATGTCTAAACCAACTTTAAAAATACTTTTATTGATGTGTAGATATCGCCCACTTCCACATCCTGTAACAGAACACATATGTACAGGTTATATTTGAAAGATTCTGAGGGGAATTCAAGAAGAGTTATCTACCCTGCTGATTAATGAACACTGTGTATCTATCAATAAATTTTTGGATATCCATGAATAATTAATTAATATCCAAAAATGGGTCGAATTATGGATATTCATAAATGAGGACTATTTTTAGCTATATACAGATTACACGGTGTTGGTTCTCTATTCATATAAAATGTAACAGAGACAAGACTTATCAATCACTTCTAGCAATAGAAGTACAACTTAGTTGGGTGATTATTTTGTGTTGGCAAACAACTGAGCTTCATTTCGAACTCATTGCCAACTCAATATAAGATGTTGGAACTCATCTTATACAGAGTGTGATCATTTACTGTTAAACACATTATTTACGAACAAACAAATATACAAATTAATTATCAATATCCAATGTATTTCAAAATGTCTATAATTTATATATATAAAAAATAGATCAAGTTTAATTACTTGTATTAGAATTACTAATTGATGTTTATTAATTAACTATAGATATTGTTAATTAGTGGGGGTTTTTACACCTCGACTTGCTCAATCTTCCAGCAAGTACAAGTACCAGTGTCCATTAAAATTGTAAAAAAAATATGATGATGATAATCAGTAGAAACATTGTAATTAAGTAAATACTACAACAGATGGACTTAAGTTAAATTATAAACAGCTATTTAGTATTGTAAGAAACATAATGTGAACATATACAGAGTATATACAAGTGAACAAGTTGCCATTCTGTGTAAAGAAACTAGAGAACACACGGAAAATCCAGGCGGTTGGGAAGGAAGTGGCACATTATATATATATAATTACTGTCTCAAGTATTGACATTTAATATGAGAACAGATTCAATCACTTTTGTCAAACAAAAGGTTGATCCTTCCCATAAGGAAAAGTCAGTTATCAATTCCTGTTTTTTTTAATTTTTAACCCAAACTGCATGACTAGAGCCAATGGGAAATAATTTAATATCACATTAACAGGGAATATATTTTCATCTGATCTTTGCTGTGACATGCAGTTTTTTAAATCAAGGTAACCTAACTTTGTTGAAATACCAAATCATGGTTTTAACAGATATGATTCGTTGGACTACTGTAGTGAAATGAATTTCCATGGCAAAAAGAAGTTGTCATTTGTGAAGTAAAGAAATTCTCTGAATTCTAATTCTTTTCACCAAACATTTCCTGAGGTTTTATATCACCAATATTCATACATGATGAGATAGTACAGGATGAGGGATACAGAGTAGTAATGAGGAAGTGCAGGCCTGGGATGACATGTAGTGGGGAAGTGCAGGACTGGGGTGACATGTAGTGGCAAAGTGCAGACTGAGGTGGCATGTTCTGGGGAAGTGCAGGACTGGGGTGACATGTAGTGGCAAAGTGCAGGACTGGGGTGACATGTGGTGGGGAAGTGCAGACTGGGGTGACATGTGGTAGGGAAATGAAGGACTGGGGTGACATATGGAAGAGAAGTGCCGGACTGGGGTGACATGTGGTAGGGAAGTGTAGGACTGGGGTGACGTGGTGGGGAAGTGCAGGACTGGGGTGACATGTGGTTGGGAAGTGCAGGATTGGGATGACATGTGGTGGGGCAGCACAGGATTGGGTGTGTTGTGTAGTAGGTAATTACATGTGGTTGGGAAGTGCAGGATTGGGATGACATGTGGTGGGGCAGCACAGGATTGGGTGTGTTGTGTAGTAGGTAATTGCAGGACATATAAGGAGTGCTGTGTAGTGGGGCACTGCAGGATTAGCATGCCATGTGGTGGAATGGAGCAGAGCAGGATTCAGATGCAATATGTTTGTGCAGTGCAGGGTTGTGAGTGTTGTGTGGTGGGGCAATACAGGACTGGTAGTGCTGTTTGGTTGGGCAGTGCAGGGTTAGGAGTGCTGTGTGTTATGAGAGTACAGGATAGAGAGAGCTGTGTATAATTAGGGTTACATATAGGGCAGTGCATGAATGAAATGAGATTGTGGTGGGATAGTGCAGGATTGGAGTTGCCCAAAACTGTAAAATCAAATTGTTTTACATAAGAACTCAACTTCATGTCATGATAAAGACTAATGATTGAAAGAGGTGGATTAAAGATCTATTTGCAAATGAACAAAATTTTATGTTGGACGGATGTACAGGTAGAATACACAACACCATAATGTCAAATCAAAATGTTTGATGGACATATGTATATTGATAATATGCTTTAGATATGTAATATATATACTAGAAATATTACTTTAAACATGCATCCTGATGCACAAATTGAAATAAAGAATTAGAAAAAGCTGTTATTACCAATATCTGCAACCAATGAACCTGGTTGTAATCGCTTAAGGAATCGACGCACATTTGGCCAGGCCTTCTGGGAGATCTCAGAGAAGCACGGGGCGATCTGGTCGTAAACACTATAGACATGTTCCTGCTCTAGAGTGTCGGATGACTTCCTCCCCATAATGTCTGGACGTGGCATTCTGTGGAACTGCAATGCTAACAAGTATCCCTAGCGGTGCTGATAAACTGAAACCGGTGCCAGCCATAGATGTATTACACAGTCTCCCACATCACCACATCAAGGAATCATTAATGTTTCACCACACCTTGCAGTTCGTTCTATTCTTGTAATGCAGCAAGCTCTGGCAGTAATGGAGACCGACATTTGCGGCAGGAAGATTATGTCACCACTACATTAACAAAAGCCAAATTGTGCTGTCACTGTTCCTGTCAATCTTGTACCTGACATAAAATCCTCCGATTTTTGTTTCAAGTTTTACCCTCGCTTCTATACCACCTGGTTGAAAAGAAAAATCAATACAGCCTGAATACACAGAAATCCCCCCAGCATGGTCGTTATACAGTTTCTCTAGCCACCATTTATCATTCCAGTAATCACTACCCAATAGAATCTAACGTCAATTTCATAGCATCAATTACATTCTTACTTATCCTAAATATACCAATGGATAAAGATGAAAGCTTTATTAGTGGCGTCACAGTTTATTACTGTCAACACAACCAATCCGTGAAAGTCACTTCCCATGATTGATTTTAAACCACGTTAAAACATGAGTCAGTCACTCATGAATCAGATGTTTAACACAATTAATTTTATACAGCTGTACACAAATACCTATGTACTTTTGAATACACTTCCTTTTAATGGTTGGTTTACACCTATAAACATGAAACAGAGAGCTGTATGAACTACAAATGAATTGCATTGAATGGATATTCCTCATCTTTCATCTATTTATCAAACAGGTATCTTAATTTTGGCCCTGCAAAAATGAAAGCTTTTACACAAACTTGCGTGATACACATGTATAATTAGTAAATACTTCCACCTGATAAATTTCCGAATTGCCTTTAATATCAGAAACCTATTGAATCTGGACATGTAGGCCTACTGGCAATAACCCTTGTCATACATGTATTTATCATCTCTCATGACTTGAATTAAAATTTAAGTGCATGAACAGTTCCTGCAAAAACAAAATTTCTGAAGTTGTTTTAAAACAGGATGTTTATATTGATAAAATATCTGTTAAAAGGTTTTTGATCAAAACTTTCAGTTTTAAAAGGTTTCAGGACAAACAATTAGGTTTTGCGATTCGTGTAGAGGATACATAATCCTGTACCAGCAATCTATCATTAAATATCCTACATAGCTTTCAATTGTGATTTCGACAATTTAAGCCATAAGATTATCAAAAAATAATCCAAATCCTTTAAAATCCTTTAGAAATCGTCAGTTTTACATCGCAAAGGACATGTGGAATAATTAAAGATACTATCTTAATAAGGGTAAAAAAAAACAATTTTACCTGAGAAAAATGAAATATATATATATATATACAATGCATGTAAAACAATGCATCTTGAAAATTTGGAATATATCTGTTAAGCTAACTATGTTTTTAATGAACACTACTAACAGTCAATTCAGGTTACTGACAGGTTTTATACAGTGGCTGGTAATTATGTACGTAAAATAATTGATTTCCATGACAACGCCCACGTTTACACATTTAGTTTATACAGTGAGACAAAGTGTATTGAGATCACACAAATTAACAATAGCCACCATGCATAGAAGAAGTCAGAAGTGTATTGCTATTATCATTGCCGTGGTTTAATGAACGCCATATATGTACATCTGTTAATCGCCACTACATTTGAACTGTATTGTACTAATGCCTTATTGAGCTCACTGATGAACCTGAGAGACTACCCAATAAACTGATTCCATTACAGATCTTTCCTCATGTCAAATTTCTTTATTTTTCCAAAGATAAAAATATATGTCAGTCTGAAAATCTGCTTACTGTCTCAAAATACAGATCTGAGATAATGGCAGAGCTAAGGGAAATTAAGGGACAACACTATTTGATATTCATACAGATTCTGGGGACAGACAGGAATTACCAGAACGGCTATCAAATATTCATCGAGGGATGGAAATATTGGAGTCACATGTTGTCTATTCGTGCATGCAAATAAGGTCAACTGGCAGGCCCAGGATATTGTAGGAACATAGACTGTTTCTATAAGCTACTAATAAGAAAAGCCAAAAAGATCACATCACAAATAAACTGTACACATATTGTATAATATAACATTTTTCTTGTAATGGGCCTCTTTTATGTTGTTCAGCCTCAAAACAATCAAAAACCAATAGCATCTATAGATTAAAACTCTATTAAATCATGATGGATGTGACACCCATACGATGGGCACAATTAGACTAAATTCTAACACACCATGAACAATGTGACACCCATGAGACTGGAACCAATAGAATAAACTCTAACACACCAAGGACAATGTGACACCTATGAGACTGGAACCAATAGAATAAACTCTAACACACCAAGGACAATGTGACACCTATGAGACTGGCAACACAATAGAATAAACTCTAACACACCAAGGACAATGTGATACCCATGAGACTGGAACCAATAGAATAAACTCTAACACACCAAGGACAATGTGACACCTATGAGACTGGAACCAATAGAATAAACTCTAACACACCAAGGACAATGTGACACCTATGAGACTGGAACCAATAGACTAAACTCTAACATATTAAGGACAATGTGACTGGAACCAATAGAATAAACCCTAACACACCAAGGACAATGTGACACCTATCAGACTGGAACCAATAGAATAAACTCTAACACACCAAGGACAATGTGACACCCATGTGACTGGAACCAATAGAATAAACTCTAACACACCAAGGACAATATGACTGGAACCAATAGAATAAACTCTTACACACCAAAGACAATGTGACACCTATGTTACTGGAACCAATAGAATAAACTCTAACACACCAAGGACAATGTGACACCTATGTTACTGGAACCAATAGAATAAACTCTAACACACCAAGGACAATGTGACACCCATGAGAATGGAACCAATAGAATAAACCCTAACACACCAAGGACAAAGTGACACTCGTGTGACTGGAACCAATAGAATAAACTCTAACACACCAAGGACAATATGACTGGAACCAATAGAATAAACTCTTACACACCAAAGACAATGTGACACCTATGTTACTGGAACCAATAGAATAAACTCTAACACACCAAGGACAATGTGACACCCATGTGACTGGAACCAATAGAATAAGCTCTAACACACCAAGGACAATGTGACACCTATGAGACTGGAACCAATAGAATAAACTCTAACACACCAAGGACAAAGTGACACCTATGAGAGTGGAACCAATAGAATAAACTCTAACACACCAAGGACAATGTGACACCTATGAGACTGGAACCAATAGAATAAACTCTAACACACCAAGGACAAAGTGACACCCATGTGACTGGAACCAATAGAATAAACTCTAACACACCAAGGACAATGTGACACCTATGAGAGTGGAACCAATAGAATAAACTCTTACACACCAAAGACAATGTGACACCTATGTGACTGGAACAAATAGACTAAACTCTAACATATTAAGGACAATGTGACACCTATGAGAGTGGAACCAATAGAATAAACTCTTACACACCAAAGACAATGTGACACCTATGTTACTGGAACCAATAGAATAAACTCTAACACACCAAGGACAATGTGACACCCATGTGACTGGAACAAATAGACTAAACTCTAACATATTAAGGACAATGTGACTGGAACCAATAGAATAAACTCTAACACACCAAGGACAAAGTGACACTCGTGTGACTGGAACCAATAGAATAAACTCTAACACACCAAGGACAATGTGACACCTATGAGAGTGGAACCAATAGACTAAACTCTAACACACCAAGGACAATGTAACACCTATGAGAGTTGAACCAATAGAATAAACTCTTACACACCAAAGACAATGTGACACCTATGTTACTGGAACCAATAGAATAAACTCTAACACACCAAAGACAATGTGACACCTATGTTACTGGAACCAATAGAATAAACTCTAACACACCAAGGACAAAGTGACACCCATGAGACTGGAACCAATAGACTAAACTCTAACACACCGAGGACAATTTGACACCTATGAGAGTGGAACCAATAGAATACACTCTTACACACCAAGGACAAAGTGACACCCATGAGACTGGAACCAATAGAATAAACTCTAACACACCGAGGACAATGTGACACCTATGAGACTAGCAACACAATATAATAAAATCCAGTAGACACTGTCAATAATATCTATTGATGGACCTTGTCTATCTTGTGCCCCAACACAAGTAAGAGGCTGGCATCAACAACTTAAAATAGATGAACCATGAATATTTAAACATTGAGTAAGAATTCTACAGCTTTAGCCTAAGGCTGTTGGTAATAAGCTTACTTGTCAGGCACCAATGCATGTAGGTATTTGACAGTCTTGTATAACTGTTCTGATTAGATTGAAACTGATTCAACTTTATGAATAATTTTTTTCTCATTGACATCTAAAACATTTTAAAATGGTACCTGCCTCGGTATGTATCTTTCTGGGCAAATAGTCATGACATAATAATGATGAACTCTAAGACAGCAATATTATTTTATTGGGGATAACAAAAATAGAACTAGGCTCACACAATAGAAATTCCTTGTATAAGTAAGCAAGCTATCCTAAATCTGCTTATATCATTCTGTTAAAGGTCCTTTATTATATATTATTCTGTTAAAGGTCCTTTATCATATATTATTCCATTAAAGGTCCTTTATTATATATTATTCTATTAAAGGTCATTTATTATATATTATTCCATTAAAGGTCCTTTATTATATATTATTCCATTAAAGGTCATTTATTATATATTATTCCATGAAAGGTCCTTTATTATATATTATTCTATTAAAGGTCATTTATTATATATTATTCCATTAAAGGTCATTTATTATATATTATTCCATGAAAGGTCCTTTATTATATATTATTCTATTAAAGGTCATTTATTATATATTATTCCATTAAAG